CACCGAATGTAGTTCAGAAAGTCATAGATAGCAACCTATGTGACCGTATGGGATGTTGCATTAAAAACAAATGCGCGACATATACAAATACATATCAGCATGTTTGCAGAGCATTCCATAGGTAACCACCTCCCAGGAACAACCTACTGTCAGGAATCTTGTGAGGGACTAGAGTGCGTTTGTTTACTCCGAGCTCAGGATGTCCTTGTATCGAGCCTACGCTGCTGCTGCAGATGATGAAACTTATGAACTCTTCAATAATGTGAAGTGGCAGGAGGAAGTCAAGATAAAAGTGTAGTTGAAAAAAACAAGCAGTGCAAATTCATAAGCTACGTAGTCGGCGGGTAATGAAAAAACAATTTAAAAAAATGGTTAAAGAACTAATACCAAGCCAAACCGACTGTTTGTCCTTTTTTATCATGGACGACGCCCAGTGTACTTCTTACTATCATTACTTTTAACCTTCTGAAGCATCATTTCGTCAAAAAGAGCAAAAGGCAAAATGCTCTTTAGACTCCTTTCGATAATCTATTACTGTTCTATGCCCTCTAAAGGTAGAAATGTGAAATTCACTAAGTACACTGCTCTATTCTGCTATCCGTGACTGCATCACCAGATCAACCTACGCCAACTATTCACCGCCGCGACTAATACTCAGGACATTGCAGAAAGAATTCCTTTCTAATTTAGGAAAACGTTAGTGCCTGGTCTCATATCTTCTATTCCTATAAACACTAAGTCATCCGCATTTCACTCAGTTGTTAGCACATATCGCACACGAGGTTACTGCGAGAACTTGCTGTAACTTTTGGATGAGACCTGTAAACAATCATTGATAACCATATTGCGTGGTAAGTGTCGTCCCTATATTTACGAATAGTGCATTTATACGGATGATTACTATCAGCTGCAAGGATGGAACTTAGTCCGCATCTGAAAAGAATTGCTGGAAAAGAAATTCTTTCAGGAAGTGGATTGTGGAATCGAAAACCTTCACAATTCCATGTTCACCAATGAAAGAAGAATCCACGCTTTGTTCCCTCATTTTTCCTCATTTTCCTTTCCTTTGCTCAAATACAGCTTAACTGTTCGGTCATTTATGGGCATACTTTGAGATCAATGGCATCTTCAAATAGGTGCATTAATTTCGCGATCAAATCAAGCAAGTAAGTATACCAACGCACAATATAACTTGGGACTTCGACTGGCTCGTCCCACATTCTTCAGGTGTACCTACAATGGTAAGACGGAGGTGATAACATTCGCCTTTGTTGGTCTAGCGCTACTAACCAGTAAGCTATATCTGCCAGCTGCATGCAAGAGGATTTTGTGCACCATGTTCAGTTTATGTCTGTACATCCCAAGACGTGTTCGACTCGACTTTCTGTTTATACTACATGGCTAGCAGTTAAGAGCTTGTGGAAAGACCACTTTACAGCACAGAAATTGCCAACAAAAACGCTTTGAATTGCTTCGCGAAACTAAACCGCATGCGTAATGTAAATATTTGATTCAACTCATCCATCAATTACAGTACAATTGGCAAAAACGACGACCCCTCAAAGAACAAATTAAGAAAAGCAAGGCCGAAGAAAGGCGACTAATCGAGCGGCTTCGATGGAAACGAGCGTGCGTTCGGCTGATGCCCACTCTCTCAACAGAAGAAGAGGTAGAGAAAAAGATGGAAAAGTTTTTAAAACTTCTCCTCACCATTGTGCGTTCGAATAATCTGGCAGACGAAAGCGCCGAGTCATTCGGACAAAGACTCACGCCTCGGGTGAAGGAACTTTGGTATATGGCAAGGTTCAAAACATACAAGCGAAGGTTCAATTCGTCAAGGAGAGGATCTTAAGTGCACTGCAAGGAACGGCAATGTGCAACGAAACCTAAGACCACTTGTTCTAGCAGATGTTGCCACTGAGAAATCAAAGGAAAATTCTACGTTCAAAAGCATGACGGTAGTCCACTGAAGCCAGCGTTTGTGAATGAATCGTTGGTAAAGAAAGATTTCTTGGATGAGCCTCTGCGAAAAATCGATACCGATTTGCAGGAGACCTCACAGCAGATAGCAAAGAGGATCACGGATGCATCTATGAAAACATCCTGCTGACCATGGCACAGTTTCAGAAAAGTACGGGGCAGTTGGACAAGAGTCTGAATTTCTAACTACAACGGCAAGGAGAGACACGGCCACGATTGGACTTCTCCATAGAAGCCATCCAGAAAGAGTTCGAAAGTTTCAAATCAATGATGAGGAGCGTTGACGAAGTCGACCAAGAAGGAGCTTATGAGGACACTCAAAGCAAACGTTCCGATGATGATATGCAGGGTGGGGAGGGGGCAAAAAAAGAATGACTTCCCTCTACATTCAAAACGGATTCAAACACACGTTGCAAAACCAAACCAAATGAGCCAACTGAATATTGAAGAGCACATTCTAATCTATCAAAAGTTACATAACAGCCTTCTACACCGACGACATCAGAAGATTTTCCCACGGAAACATGGTTCACGGTACGAGCTCAACGAGGTCGTCGAGGTACCATAGACCATTACGACGTCCCTGAAACGCTGGTCAAAAGCGGTTTGCACAGTCACAGCTAGTGTCTCTGCTATTCACCAGTTAATCTTGAAGAAATTATGTAGCAGCTTCAGGCCGGAGCGATTACGGTAAGCCTCGTTGAGCTCGACGGTGACGGCAGATGACGTCATATTCTGAAGACGGTGGGGCAGTGAAGGAGGGCCTGCTTCTGCTTTTGGACACCTAAGGAATATTCTGCCGTAAAACATTCATCAACAACGGCATCCTGTGCGACGAAAAGTTTGATGATGTGCGCCATGGGCAAAGTGACTCTTTTTTTGCCCACCCCTGTATATCGAAGGGCATTTGGGAAGTTGGCAACGACGACTTCTCCTTCAGAAAATGACAAAGGCAAAACACACGAAGAACCACAAAAAGAACAAGGTAAAGACGACCGGAAGAAAAGGAGTGTGACGACGGCGGACAAGACTCGGAGATAGGAAAGGAAGCGAAATCTGCAACGACATCAAAGGAAAATAACGGAGGGAATGGAGGAAATACACTCACAAGGGAAGGATACCAGGTCGAAGTGGCCATTTGTAACGAGACATACACCACTAGATGTGTTTTTGGACGCTGATCTCGAATCTGCTCTCCAAATCTGCGGAACGATCCGTAGTTATGAAGCGAGATAGTGCAGTGGCAGCGGCCCAGGCCGACGGGAAAGAGGTCGTGAGATCGAATTCTCGGCGAGTTCTTGACTTTTGCTTCCCCAACATTGCTAAGGAGACCCTCATCTATGCTAAGTCATTAGCTTTTGCCTATGTTACAAGTGTTTGGAGCTAGCGAGGAGTTTCGATCAGATGTGCGCGCCATTTGCAAATGACTGACCTCGGTATTCATAGCGCACACTATAGGAACTTTCGTGCAATACAAAGGTGATATTCGTGTTCCACTTTAAGCTGCACCTTTCGACAACTTTTGATCCAAATCTCAAAATTCCGCCTGATGTCGAAAATGTGGGCAGTCAATATTTGGCCCTCAACCCACTGTCAGAATCTGATCAAGGGATGCAATTAAACTTTCAATCATAGTGATGAGAATAAGTGTATATGTCTTGATGGCTTGCGATAGCCGACGACTCAGATGGTGTTTGTCAAGTACACTCCGGCTTCCCTGTATGCTAAGACAACGCTAGGCTGCTGGCTAAGAACAACGATAACTATTGATTGTCGACCAACTTTTTGAAATTGATTCGAGATATCAGTGTTCTAGGAGTAAATCTCCAGGGACAGTTGGACTCGCTGAGCAACCATATCATCTCCAATCTGATGAGTCATCTTCGTGGCGCAGAGACGAAAATAGATGACGCTTGAAGGAAACCCCTCTAAACACGTGACAGCGATGTACACAGTACGAACTTCAACACTGAATAGTTTTTGTACTGAAAACAAACAGAGTTATAAAACGCAACAACTTGGAACTCAGCGAAATCCGAACCATGATCTCACCAACGCAAGCCGCAAGCACTACCCCTCGCCAAGCCGCTGCTGACAGCGCCGGTCTCTCTTATGGTGGACTTTCATTTGAAACAACCTTTGTAACTCTGTTCAGAGAATCGTTCCGCAAATTTGGAGACGGATTTGAGATCAGCGTCCGAAAACACGTCTGTGAGTATAGGTTTCATTACAAATGGCCACTTCGACCTGGTATCCTTCCCTTGTCAGAAAAATAAGCGATGGGAGACTCTCTAAAGCTCATATTCACTATGAGGAATTAAATGAGGAAAGGGAAAAAATTTCTCAAGTGCTCCTTCTGCAACGTGAGAAGGACTTCATTATAGCGACAGTTGTTCCTGAGTACAGAAGTGCCCAAGATCGTATAGAGAGGACACGGTGCAAATTGTGTATTAAATTATTTTAATTATGTATTATATTTTATTAATTAATTATTTATTTTAATTAATTATGTTTAATCAACTTATTTTTTCATTCATTTAGTCAATATACAATTCATTTCATTGCATGCTCCTCTGCATGATAAGTACGTCACATCAAGGTTTATTCGTCTTTCCCCTGTGTCTTTATTTCGCCAATCCCAACTCACTGATGAGCTCCGGGGATTGACGAAATAATAAGGTTCGTCTGAGGAAGGAGCGAAACGAACCGTATCTATTATTTTGTTTATAATGGTTTTTCTTTCTTAATTCACAAAAACTTCGAATAATGGATGTAGGAAAGTTGTTACGTGGCAACATACTAGTCGTCGTGCAAGTAGTGCTCATGTGCTGCTAAAGCTACAGTGAGATAACTACTTCTCAATGCTCTTTTTGAGCAAAATCTCTTCGACCTGATGAGTCATCGGTGTCCATCCTATCTGTGTTATTTTGTTCTTAGAATCTAGATAGTTTTATGAAAGCATACCAATTTTGAATAAACGTTATGATTGGATTGGTGCTAACGAACCCATTAAGAAGAATCTACACTACGAATGAGCGCAACATACCTCTCCTTTCAGGGCATACCTTCACCTGTTTAGTCTTACAATGCGTCTCCGTGACACGTTTTGAAAATCCCGGCTGTGGTGCTAAAAGAGTTACTTCAATCATGAGTTGAATCTGACGCTGAGCTCTCGCCGATCCTTTGTTTGACAATCTCGCCTCTACTCGTTCCTTCATTTCTCCAGTCTGGAACCACCGCTGTTAGCTTACCGCCTTCAAGGACTTTCGTCCTTAATGCCTCACTTCGAGCCAGTGGGTAAAATATCGGTCAAGGGAATCTCCAGACAAGTGTGGCGTACTTCTGACCTGAGGTCTAGTAACGTACAGTGGCATCTGGTACAGTAAGAAGGAAGGTGCCGGCCAGCAGGAAAACGAGGAAGATGCAATGGTTAACTATGCGTGAAATTTTTCTTTGTAGGTTCGTTCGCTGCATTGCTCTAACTTCGTGGGGAAGAATTATTTGAAAGCAGTACGAGCAACGAAAGTCATCTCCGCAAGAAACGGGGCTACGTGTGCACACGCGCTACAAAGGCACCTCCTTTATATGCCGCCCGCTCCCTCGCCCTCAGCCCTTCAAAAATCTGAGAATGACACTGTGCTGTTAGGGACGCTGTCGCAAAAACGGCAATAATTCCTGAAGATCCTGGGCATATGAAGCTGTTCCTTAGGTTATAGGAGTTACGAAATGTGTTCACTACCATACAGTTTCTGTCAGAAGTCCATCATCATATAACACCTTCCAAGATTTGATTGATTATGATTTTTTGCAGATGTGGGAGTCGGATGCATGGCCTATACTGAGACAAAATCGGACGATGACGATTGCCCTTTTCTTATCGCTTATGTTGGAAGAATGTATTCTAGACACATTTCGAGCGTTGCCAACGAATTACACTTGCAATGGTGAAGAAGGGAGCGGCTTTTTGAGCGGCCGAGAATCATCCTCGATAGATCCTCGACGCAAATATCTCCTCAACTAGAAATGTAGAAGGAAGCTAACACTGTTAGAAAGCGCAAACCTTCCGCTTTCCAAAACTGTCTTCGTTTTTTAAGATCTTGCGAAATTAGAGAGATATTGCCTTTTAAGTGGCAAAAACTCGCATGAAAATTTCAGCATCCTCGACGCTCCCTCGACGGATTTTGAGAGACTATATCTCTTCGAATGGAAGGCTTTCATAGCAATTCCAATACTGCCTGATAGTAGCAAATCTAGCTCTATCTAACCCTACCGCGTGCTGTTCAAAAGGTTGGAAATGGAGGAATGGAACCTTTTCATCGAGGGTGTAGATTTCGACGTTTTTTTTGGATTTCAGCAAATCTGACCCAGGGACGAATCGCGCCGCTGCTACCAAGAAATGTCACGTCGCGTCGCTCCTTCCTAAGAGCTGGTCTCCAAATGGATAGTGGAAAGCAGTCGATACTGTCAAATGAGGGATCGAGGGGGGGGGGGGGGGGGGGGGGGGGGGGGGGGGGGGGGGGGTTCAAGGTTTTCATGGAATAACCTTTTGCAACTTCAATCAAGTCAGTAGTTTTGCACAGATTAGACTCGCCACAGAGAGACGAGTCCACAGCTGTAAAGATCCTTTCATTTTACCCCCTTCCGAGGAGTTATGACGGTGCGACGGTATGATACTCTACAAAACCGTCGCTACGCGTAGATGTTTCAAAAATTAGGAGCAGTAATGTAGTTCTGTCTCGAGGAACCGTTGGAGCCTTTGTTTCCCTGCGGATGCCTAATCCGCTGTGCTCACTTTTAATGTTGGATCGACCCGGGAATTTGTTTAATGGGCAGAGGGCATGCACGGCTACTGCAGGCTGAGTACCACGCAATCCGCTGTTGCGGCTACTAAATTAAAACCATTACATACGTTAAACCTACTCGTTATCGTTGTTTTGGTCGTTGTTTCGGTCAAAGTGATGCTCGGCGTCGTCTCGTTGTGCGGTGGGCCTGATCGGACATCATCTCTAAGTTTCGACACAATAGGATTTGTCTATAGAAGCGAATACAACTTAGTTCACTCACGAGTCGGTGCCACAGACGCTGGCCCGTCATCACCCTGAAATATCATTCCATCGCTGAACGCCGCCTCGTGGACGCGAGCTCAAAAACTGGCATACCTCGTATGCTCCACGTAAAGATTCACTACAACGGGCTGAAATTAGGCGAATCATGAGTGAAATGAAATACGGAGAGAACTTCTTTTTTCCTTGAGTGCAGTCTGCGTGTCTTAACAGCCTTTGCTCGCATGACAGAAAGTACCAGGGTTATGCATGGAAACCTTTTGTGGTGAGAATAAAGTAGAGTTCGCGATCAGATGATGCCATTAAAATCAAGGAAAAGTTGGTGGAACGGATAGAGAAATTCATGAAAAGCGGCTCAAACCTAGGAAACCTTGCTTTGCGCTGATTTGGAACTGATGCGGACTCTCTCGAATCCTCCTCTGTAAGCCGCTAACGTCTCTCTGCTGAGCGGCTGGAGACCTGCGGCGAGTAGTTGGCCAGTCGGTAGGCTTACCGCGTCGATAGCGCAGCGGGAGATCCATGCTGGAACTTTTCCTTACAGAGGACTGCGTACCGCTTCGCATCCATAAGGGTTTCACCTATCTTTCCACTGAGTAACTTTCCCTTTTTCAACCTTCGACCTCAGTGTGAAAAGCCTTTTTTAAAGAGTGTATGTACTGCATTATCTTACTTCGAGGGCGGCAAACTATGAACACCACAGAGCTCTAATGCACAATGTTGGAGCTGATTCAAGAAAAGCAATTTACCTCCTTTACAACACAGTTTCTCGACGGGTGGAACCTTTTCACATATAAAGGAGTCGATGAAATCAGTTGAACTGAAAAAAGGTGAATCGAAGCTCCCAAACAACTAACTGTGAGCAGAGTAGTTGTGTGAGCCACGAAATTCGTATGCGAATGGAAAAGAATTTGCATCCATCGAACAACGTGGTTATTATGAAATTTGAGTTTCACATAACCTTGACGGATCACAACTTTAATCACGACAGTGCTTCTTTGAAACTCGTCTGCAGCGAGGGATATTCAGGGCGGCCACGGTTTTCGAAAGGCTTTCAATATGTTGTAAGGATACAAACACAAAACACAAAACCGAATCTCATTCTCGCTGAGCGGTGCTGTGAAAGAAAAAGGGGTGGAGAGACGGCCCACGGTTCGGCCCCCGTGATCATGAAAATTTTCATTTTGTAGTGGCACTACCACGTTGGCGCACAATGGTGCTGACGCCATAAATTGACGTTTATTATACATTATGATCAATGCGTGTAGTCTCCATGGGATTGTTCCATAGAAGTTCAGGACTCAAAAGTAGACTCGAATGGCGCCATACGCTAAAAATGAACGCTATTTTAGTGATCAGATGGTTGATTTTTGCAGCATACATTTAGAAAAACTCAGTGCTCCCATCGAGCCTGAAAAAATTGGACAGCCAGTGGTCTATTCCGTAGGTAGTCTCATCATGCACATCAGCACAGGCTTGAAGATGAGCTTGGCGCGGAAAACTGGCAAAAAGCCGGCTGACGTTGAACGCTGCTAAGCGGCAATGAAATTATTTCTCTGAAGCACATTGAATATCAGACATAGTACTTAGCGAAGTATACACTGGTGCGCAAAACTCAGGGACGGGAGCAACATGATTACTCACTGCTAGATAATCTAGGTCCTTGAATAGGACACACATAGAAGGAAATGTTACAGCATACCGCAGAAGGTCACTGATAGAAATGCGCAGAGGAACGGTTGAAAAGCACTTTTTCTTCAAAAACAGTGACTGAAGCGGTTGATGGGTGAGGCTACCAACTCATGGTAGACCTTCAAAAGAGAGGAGCTGGTTCTTGATGGGGTGTATGAACACTACGGACTGCAAACATGCTACGTGCTCCCATACGGCCGCAATGTTAGTCAAGAGTTCTTGTGTAGAACCGTTGTATCCCTGATAACCCGACTGTCGATTGCTGGGTCTCGTTGGCCCGTGGAAATGCGCTACGATAGCTCTCCTAGATGCATGTCACTCGTGCTCAATAGGAATTGAGTGGGGAATGTCGGTACGCCCCTGCCAGTTTATGCCTCCGACACCTTATCTAATGGTCTATCAAAACAACCATGCTTAACGATAGCCCTGGTGGCATTACATATTCTTACTCTCACTGTATGTGTTTGGTGGTGATGTCCGTTCCTCCAAGTGGTGCCACTGGAAACTGCTCACTTTTGTGAGCTGAGCCGACCACGGACATTCGAATGCAGGCGACAGGCCCCCGTGACAGGCCGGCCTACGAACACCCACGTCACATCACAAATGTCAATGTCGCTACAAGTATCTCGAGATAATGCTACGGCGTCCGCGGGAGCCGACGCGCACTCGCAAAGCCCGGCGAGTGTGAAAAGTATGCGAGGGTCTCCGGTGCAAGGACGGCATCGGGGGGCAACTAGGCTAGTCCAAAAGTCCCGCAACGTATGGAAGACTCGCGTTGCGACGTTAAATGTTGGCACGTTAACGGGACGCTCGCACGAGTTAGCAGAAGCTCTGGAGCGCCGAAGAATTGATTTCTGTGCCGTGCAGGAAACGAGGTGGTCCTGCTGCAAGTCGAGGGACATTGGCCGCGGCTTCAAAGCCGTTCTATGTGGCGGTCCCAGAACCACCAATGGCGTCCGGATGATGTGTCCTGAACAGCTTTCGTGATGACCGTAAGCGTGGAGCGCTTCGACGACCGTTTAATGAAGATCGTTGTCGTCATGGAACATCAAAAATACCATTTCTTCTCTGCGTACGCTCCGCAGACTGGATGCTCCGAGCAAAACAAGGACAAGTTCTGGAACCTGCTTGATGAGAAGACAGCTGAGGTACCGTCACAAGAAGCCATAATTGTTGCCGGTGACCTCAATGGCCACGTGGGCGCTACGAAAGACGGTTATAGCTGTCATGGTGGTTTTGGTTATGGGTCACGTAATACTGATGGCGAACGAATTCTTGAATATGCAGACTCGCATAATCTCGCCATAGTAAACACGAAATTTCGAAAACGTGACTCACATCTTATCACATTCTATAGCGGTAAAACCAGAACCGGCTATGAAGAAGATGAAATCAGGCAAAGCGACTGGTCCTGACGACTTAGCGGCGGACTTGTGGAAATCAAAGTGCTGGAATCCTGCACAGTGGTTGACGGAGTTCTTCAACCAGGTCGTTGCAGAGAAGAAGGTGCCTGAGAGCTGGCAACAGAGCACGACGATTCCAATCTGGAAGAAAAAAGGCAGTCCTGCGGACTGCACTAGCTACCGTCCAATTCGCCTGCTCTCGCATAGCATGAAAATCTTTGAGCGAATTGTAGACAGTCGTATCCGTGACGTCGTCGAGCTGACCACCAACCAGTGTGGTTTTGTTGCTGGTTGCAGCACCATCGATGCCATACACGCCGCTCGCCTTCTGCTAGAAAAGCATCGCGAAAAACAAAAGCCGATACATCTTGCCTTTCTAGACTTGGAGAAGGCTTTCGATCGCGTTCCACGTGACGTTATATGGTATGCTTTACGACAGCATGGCGTTCCCGAAGAGCTTATTGAGTGGGTGCGCATCCTGTACTCGAGTCCAAAGAGCCGAGTGCAAACGGCCGCGGGCACATCGACGGATTTTCCCATCTCTGTCGGAGTACACCAAGGCTCTGCGTTATCCCCACTGCTATTTGTTGTCGTCATGGATGCCATTACAAAAGATCTCCAGAAGCCGGTACCATGGACGCTTCTTTATGCTGATGACGTGATGCTCGCTAGCGAAGATAAAAGCACGCTTGAGCAACAGGTGCAAACCTGGTCCGACCGTCTAGCTATGTTCGGACTCAGGTTGAATGTCAAAAAGACAGAGTACTTGACCACCGATCCGAGTGAGCCAGGCTCTATTAAGATCAATGGTACTGAGCTCACACGTACAACAACATTCAAGTATCTTGGATCAGCAATTGCGTCTGACGGCAGCCTGGTCGTGGAAACGAATTCTCGCGTGAATGCAGCCTGGTTGAAATGGCGCTCGATGACTGGCGTTCTCTGCGATAAGAATATACCTGAGCGTCTCAAATCCAAGATCTATAGAACCGTCATCCGGCCGGTCGCCATTTACGGTGCTGAGTGCTGGCCTGCGACCAAAGAAGTTGAAGCCCGTCTCGGTGTGATGGAGACAAAGATGCTCCGCTGGACAGCCGGAGTCACACGATTAGATCGCATTCGTAATGATGTCATCAGGGAGCGATTCGGTGTAGCTCCGATTGTTGATAAAATGCGCGAAGCCCGTCTCCGATGGTATGGACATGTTCTTCGCGCGAATGAGGACAGTGTCCGTAAGATCGGTCTCAACCTTGACGTGCGCGGAAAGCGGCCTAGAGGACGCCCGAAGCAGCGATGGCTCGACACGTTGCACGAAGACTTGAAGAGCGTTAACATCCACCCCGATCAAGCATTCAATCGGGAGAAGTGGCGTCAACACATCAGAAAAGCGGACCCCGCCTACAAGCGGGACAGACGCTAAAGAATAAGAAGAAGAAGAAGAATCTCACACTGCCTGTTAAAATGCAGATTGAAGCCCTTTCTTTATTGCTGCCAAACGAGCCCCTCCAAGCTGATCGGGCACAGAGGTCATTCCTATGCGGTCACTGTGACTGTCCAAGCTCGGATTGTATGCCCCACCATCATGATAAATGATCTTGCAACTGCAAGTCTTGTGACTACATCTGGTCCCTTCCACCTGATGCATGCACCGCGGCACGCAATCAACCTGCGCTGTTCGTGGTCCACCCCCCCCCCCCTATGAGCAGCAGTGGCTGTGATTTTTATCGCTCCTCATATGCATAAAACCATGCTATGAGGATTACTAAACTCCTAGACCACACACGTAGCACATCTTCCTTCTTACAATTTCCCGGTGCTTATTCCTCGCGAGTTTCCCGGTGATTCTTCCTCCCGCTAAGTCACGCTATTGCTATCTACGAGAGTTACGGTAATCAAAAACACCACGAAATTGCACAATAACTTCTCTCTTGTCAGTAAACTCCCTCTAGTATTGTTTTACAAAACCCCTCGTTCTGTGGGTTTTGTGGACACTCACTTTTGGCTCCACATTGAAGCGGTTCGCGTGATATATGAGGTCCAGTTTGTCGTGCACGACTGACAATTTCATTCAATTCTATTTAGTTATTGATAAAACATGTTATTTTATCACCTCCTACTTTTGCACACCGTATATAGCGTGTAAGATGATAGCAACCATTCGTATAATGCATCATTGAGATCCACTGGCAGCATGGCGCTTTATACAGAAGCTAGCACAGGCAAGCGTTCACAAAAGCCTAGTTTGACATACACGTGGTAGCGAGCGGAGGTAAGCTGGTAATCAACAAAGACCATCTGTTAATGCAAGTAAAATAAAAGATGAAAAATAAGGAGGAGGAGAGCTTTTTCGAAACTAGAAAAAAAGAACCAAAGAAACTAAGAATTTTGCTATAAAGCAAAGTTTTATTTACAAAAGCACTTCTCCATCTACGTTTCGAGAGCAATAGCTAAATAAAGCTGTGCAAAGAAACATACGAGGACCACGAGATATTCCGGAATCGTTTCCACCCTAGAAAGGAAAAGGACTTTTGTTGAGATACGTTGACGAATACTCAGTGTTCAGCTACACTTTCCCGGATAAAGCTGCTCTCGAAATCGTCAAACTATCCGATTTATAGTTTTATGGATGTACGGTCGATTTCCGAAGGTTGGGGCAAGTTTGTCACCGGTAGTGACGTGCACTTGATAGAAGATACATATATGGATGTATGGGGTTGCTATCAAGGTACATCGCGAGAAATCAGCAAATTATGCTAGCAACAGCTTATTCACGCAACTTCTATCAAGCGCACGTCTACCACAACTTTCGGATATCTTCGTAACTAAGTATAGCATAAGTATATATTATGTGTATTATGTATGTATGTATGTATGTATGTATGTATGTATGTATGTATGTATGTATGTATGTATGTATGTATGTATGTATGTATGTATGTATGTATGTATGTATGTATGTATGTATGTATGTATGTATGTATGTATGTATGTATGTATGTATGTATGTATGTATGTATGTATGTATGTATGTATGTATGTATGTATGTATGTATGTATGTATGTATGTATGTATGTATGTATGTATGTATGTATGTATGTATGTATGTATGTATGTATGTCCATCCCTAGCCCCGTTACCTCAAAGTGGTGGGATGGTGTAAACTCACTCGATGAAAAGATCACTCGTTGTCGCCGGAGCAACGACGTGTCGAGTGAGGCTAAAAACGGGCCCCTCTTGGACAGGTCCACTTCCGGCAGTGGATTACCGCCAGTTTTGGCTAGGCGGTGGGGGATGTCCAGGCCATCAGCAT